ATGTTTTTCTGTTGAAAATGATTATACATAGAGAATCTGCAATCTTCGTGCATGAAAAAATATAAAAAATATTGAGAAAAACGAATTTAATAAGTATTCAATAAAAATATCCGGAAATGGCAAAAAATGCGATCTATGGTCTCTAGCAATCAGTAGTAGATAACAAACAATATTTTTTCCAGTGTTTCAATTTTCCTTTCAAATGCAACAGTCAGGAAACTGCAATAGCGGAAAAAACAGGTGAACAAAAAGACAGCTTCAACTGAAACCTTTCACGTGTTTCCAGCAACTGTCATTATCAATTAGCCACGTTTCTCTTTCTATTCCGAGAGATTTCCAAAGAGTTAGCAATCAATAGGAACAAGTACGGAGCAAAATGTGGGATTAAAATTCAGTAGCGAAGCGGTAAACCGGGTTAAGTCGATTTTAACTGTTGGCCAGTTTCTGACGAATATCTCGAAATCTAAAAGAGATAAAAAAATTTTTGTCATGACCTTTTTTGTAGAGCCAATTGAGGGTTATAAAAAAAGTCATGAGAAAAATTTTGCTATCTCTCTTAGTTTCCGCGATATTTATCAAAAACTGGCCAAAAGTCAAAATCGAATTGACCCGGTTTATCACTTCGCTACTGAATTGTCCCTCAAATATTAGTCAAAATTACGGAAACATATGTAATTCTGTAACGGTCGGAGGAAGAAATGATAATTGATCGTTCTTCTCGTGAATTTTTCTAATTCACAACAAAAGAAAAACAGAACAGAAATTTTTTTCAGTTAACCCTAGTTTGGTCACCATATGAGAACTTGCAACTTTGGTCACCTCCGCCTCTACTGTTCGTCACCTCCGCCTCTACTGTTCGTCACCTCCTCTACTGTTGATACTTAAGGGTGCCAAGTGAATTTGGCGATGACCTTGAAAATTGACATTCACCAACAAAGTTATAATTTTTTTAATTAATAGTATTAGACAGATGGTGAACATCGGTGACAATTTTAAAATTTTAGAACTTATGGATATCGAGAAATTAAATAAACAAAATCAGTCTTATACACGGCCTCTTATGGAGTTTTGATTAAATTGAACGTTTCAACTCCCTAGGAACTCAAGAAAAATTTGAAAAAATTTGAAGATATGGGGAATGATGTGTTCAATGTGATGGCGACAAAAAACAATGGGGTACCGGGGTGAATAAGAGAGATATTTCAACCCGCCGTACCCATTTGATCCCATGCTTTCTCGAGGTTCGTCACGCGAAATAGAGGATTTTCCGCATTTATTTTCTCGATGTCTAGTTCCGATTGCGGGTTTGAAATTTCGTCGGATAAATGAATACATATTTCTCCAATGATGGAGGGAAAGAAAAAATTTTTTTTGAATCTTTTTTCAAATTCACTTGGCACCCTTAAAACGCAATGCTCTTCTAACAGTCTAACTGTTTATATTTTTTTCTCTGACTATCGGCGTCAAAACAATCTTGGTAGTTTTCCAGCAATAATAATACCGTAATCTGCGAATGTAAAAAAACACTATGCATGCAATATTGAATGACAGCGTGGCTTTACAATGTATAAATAGGAATAGGCTACCATTTGTCACGGAGACGTTGAGCAACCCAGCATGTGCGACTACATCGAGCGTAAGAAATGCAATATCTGATGGCGAGATATTGCATTAACCGGGGGAGATCTTCGCCCGAAGTTTTGCCTCAGCGATTAGCAGAATTTCCCTAGACATTCGCGAGCATTACGTGATTTCGAAGACAATCGGATTTCACTTGAGCTCTCTTCTTCTCTAACTTGGCTTGGTTCCCAATCGGAGTTTTTATAGTTTTTTAACCTCTTGCGTGGTGTCACAGCTGACGAAAGAGATTGATTTCATTAGTGTCAATCAACACCATTTTTCGATTAACTTTTTAAAATTTTGGCTTACATTTCTGGCACAAATTTTGAACAATTCGTTAAGCGACAGCTTCACCGAAATTTAAAAGAATTTCGTAATGAAAATTCACAATTTTAAGGGAAAAGCAATGGAAATTGATAGAAGTTATAGACTTTCAAGCAAATCAGTACACTGATAGAAACGATTAGTTATTATTAGCGAACGCATTTGGTTGGAGACCGGGCTCTACTCAGTCTCATCAAATGTTCATTCGTTAATAGTTAACAAATGCACATTTGACGAGACTTTTTCGACATGATTTTCACTTTCCAAGTGAACCATTCGTTAACTATTAACAAATATTCATTCGGTCATATTCAACTCTACCATTCGTTAATAGTTAACGAATTTCGTTTGGAATAAATAAATCAGTCTATCAGTGTAGTGAAGTGGTCAATTGGTTTAAGCCGACTTAGCTCACAGTTGAGTTTTTGGTGAATAACTCGGAATTTAAGAAAGATAGCGAAATTTTTGTAAAGTATTTTTCGATAGTCTTCACTTTTCTTTACAAAAAAGATTTTTAGGAAAATTTTGCCAACTCCTTTAGAATTTGAGATATTCATTGAGAACTGGCGCTAGAATGGAATTTACTTAAACCGTTTGACCACTTCACTACTGAAATATATACTTGAAATTGCAATTAATTTAAAATTCAGCATAACTAAACATGGAATTATTCATGTTTTGATAGAAAATTCGAGAAAGTTGAGGAATACTCATGTTTCTACTGTGCAAATGTATGGAATGTTCATCTAATTTCCACGAAAATTAAAAATTTCATGACTATTCTCCCCTCTATCAAATTTGATGACGCTCTTCTGAAAATGACTACCAGACTACCCATGATCTTCCAATTGTTACCGCGACGGTATGATTCACAAGCGACAAAAAGTTGAAAAAAAAACATTGCGAAATTCAACAAATCATTCCATCATTTGTTATCGAAATTATGAAATCATTATGTCATTGAATTCATTCTCCGGTTATATCACCAAAAAACCCTGTCCCATTTTGAGCAGTGATAATATGACGACGAGTCTGTTTATTTTAAAATGCGAGATTACAGATAACGTACATCTTGAATGAAAAATCATGGAATCAGGAAACAGACGTACGGAAATTCCCGAAAAAATATAAACAGTCTTACGAGTATAGATCAAGTTCAACTAAATCAGGGCTAATAAAAAAATGACTGCAAATATATTAAAATCGAAACGAAAATCGAAGAAATGAAAAATAATATTACCTTGAGAGCATAGCTTGAGAAAGAATGAAATGAATGCATACCTAATGTAATGAAGTACACGGAGAGAAATTTCGATGAAAAATTCTAGTGCTAGCACTGGAAAAGTGGCGCAAAGTGCAGACCAGGGAAAAAGTCCAGTGCTGGCACTGGAAATATTATTGATATTCCTGTGAAAATTTCATCTAAGTACGCGAAAAATTCCCATTCCACCCAATAAAATTTCCAGTACCAGCACTGTAATTTTTCCCTGGCCGTCATTTTGCGCCCCTTTTCCAGTGCTAGCACTAGAATTTATCTTCGAAATTTCTCTCCGTGTACATTCTACAGAGAAAAATCAGCATTCATAACAGTATGAGAAGCTCCTCTCACTCGTAGTGCAAAAAATTGAAACAAAAACAAACTCTTTTCCCGATATCACTCATTACCGAGATAATAAGAAGCAGAGTGTCGTTCAAGTGTCATTGAACCGCAATTTGATCAGATTTGCTAATTACCTCAAACCACATATGACTTTGAATTTTCGTTTTTGCTTCCGAATGGAAAAAAATTATCAATTTTCTGTCAGCGGTCCGATTTGCCCTACCCTCCCCTATCCAAGTATCTTTTAAAGTTTGGTATATACCACACTATTGATTCAATCATTCTCAATCATCAAATTTGTCAATTAAATTCACAGCAAAAAATATATTTGAATTATGTATAAAATATACTTGAATCAAGTATTATTGAATCAAGTATATTTTTTTTCCGTATTGCATGAGAAAAATTTGAAAAAAGTCATGAATATTCAGCGTCATTAATATTACATTTTGCACCGAATTATTATTCTTTTAAACATCCGTTCTATAAATCAATAATTGAAATTGTTTAAACTTTCGGAAACCTCAATTCTTTAGCCGTGAAATCGATTTCTGGTAAAATTCCGAATATCCATAAATTCGCTAGGACTTCGAACAAATGATTTTTATGCTGAAAAATCGATTTTTTATGAACTTCTTATAGAAGATGCTTGTAAATTTCAATCATGTCGTTATCCCATCAAGGAAAACCCATTGTTAACGCGACTACTCCACAAATAACACACTCGACCCGACGAACACATCATCCATAACTCCATTACACAAATTGCCTCCATTAATTGTTGCATATCAATGTCAATTGACCTATCATTGACTACATTTGCAGTAATAGAATGCCACATTTTTCCGCATTGACTAGTTGCTATCATTCCCAATAAGACTGTCGTGGGATGTGCACACGTGGCGTGAGAGTCAAGTTGCCTTACTCAATCGGCGTCATTATAAGTTTAGTCCCTCCAATATTATCACATTCTTGGTCAAGGTCGGATCATTACATCATGATGTTTTTTCTCCGACTGCGGATTATCTTGACATTGAAGGAGGGCAACCACTGCTGCGTGCCGAAGATGAAAATAAAAATTGATAAAAAATGTAATTGATAGCTTCCGATCCTGATGACAACGCTTCATTCATTACGTAAAACGATAATTGCATCAAACGTTGCTAATTAATATTGAATCTCTTTAATTGGATCAATGAAAATGTTAAATCGGATATCACTTGTTGCATAAAAATTGAATTTTCAGATCTTTCGATCGGAATCTTATCACAATTGGGGGTGTTTAATTACTCATCATTACGTGCACATTTCCATTGGCTTATCGAATAGTCAGTAATATTCATGACTCTGCTGTTTCACATTCACACTTCAATGAATCGACTGAATTGCGCCGATTCGCGAAAGAGTTATTCCAGTTATCGATTGTGACTGTTGTTTGCACGACTTTTTATTGCAGATACGACGTGCCATTGAATTCAAATGGTGGCTGAGACGACGAAAATGGAAGAGTTATCAAATGGGGAAGACGATTGCTGTGTTTACAAAGATGTTGTGGTTGTTGGTAAGTGAAAGTGGACAATATTTTGATTCATTAAGTTAGTAGTAAAGTGGGACGAGTAGATATGTCACTTCACGCATGAAAACTTCATTAGGTTGCAACTTTTCAATAGAAAATTCTAAGTTTTTAGGTAGAAAATTCTATTGAAGAGAGAATTTAATATTTTCATAGAAAAATGTTCAGTAGAAACTATCGTATGGAAAAAATCTTATAAAAAAAAATAGTAGAAATTAATTGTTCTTTTCAAGTTTTTCCATTGAAATATTTTCTGTAGGAACGCCTCGATACGAATTCTTTGAGTTTTTTCTACTTGATTTTCTTCTCTTTTCATTAAAGAACCCAAACTACAAAATTTAGAATGTTTGAGCCTCGAAATTTTTATAGAAAATATCTCAATGGAATGAGTTGCATAGAAAAATCGAATTCTATTGATTTTTTAAATAAAATATTTTCAGTAGCAATACACTGAGAGAAGAAAATTGTTTTGCCAAAAAAATTATGTTCTTCTGAAAAGATCTTTTGTCGTGTTGAATCAATTAACTTGTGGACCAAAACAAAGTTTCCACCAAAACATCATAATTTTTATAGTAGTAATTGTTCTCGTGAAATATTTATGTCTTTCCGGTAAACACATTCGTTTTACAGAGAATGACATGAGGCTCCGGTTTTATCAAGTGAATAAAACCGGACGAACACCCATAATTTCCATGGAACAAACGATAATTTCAAGAAGAAACAACAATTGGCAATTGTCAATTATTATGAACAAAAATTCAGAAATTTTTCCCGAACATAGTCTATACATTCCTTTGTCAAATAACGCAAACAAAATTTCGATTCAATTATCTAGCGATTTGTTATTAACAAATTTCCGACAATCGCCGATCTTGGCAACCATTTTTGCTATCGAATTGAGATCAGTCTTAAAAATCCAGAAAAATCTGTCTAAAGGAACACCGTAATTAAACAACTTATTGTTGAAAGCTCAAGACTATCATCAAATTTTAGACGATAATTTTTTGCTCACCAATGTAGAAATTGTCGCGTATTGAACAGCGAATTCTAATAGACGGGAGGCCGCCGGCCTATATGAGGACACACCGCTGCGATTTCAAAGCGTTCGAAATCTTCAACTTTCGGCAATCAATTATAAATGAACAAACAATATTTCTAATGTTTATAAATGGAAAATTGGTCATTTCAGACCGAAACTTGAGACTGAAAAATGAATTTAGAAATGCATGCAACACCCCTATTGTTTCATTTTATTCGCCGCGTAAAATGACAATTCTTGAATTGCAGGCAATGGCCCTGGTGGCATTTGCATCTCCTACATGCTGAATGGAAACTGGCCATACTATACAGGTCAGCCTCACCCTGGTGATGAGATGCTGACAGCAAGATTAAACTACATAGTCCAGAATAGTCGCGACGACTCCCCGCGAAGCCCTTCACGAGTTAATCCGGGGAATCCCAGGGACAACTCGACTGGCGCGACCCCTAGAAGCGCGAAAAACCCGGACAAGAGCCCGAAAGATGATCGACGGAGCCTTTTACTGACCTCGAGGAGTGATCTGGAGGTCCTCACCAACGGTCTCGAGGGCAGAGGCACCTGCAGGCCTATGACGCTGCTCCTGGATCAGCTCCAGCATCCGTGCGTTGACGCTGGGCTGGACATTCCGAGTCTTCTGAGCTGGCAATCAGCCGAGCATCATCCCCAGCACAGAGTCATTGATCACGTGGTCCTGGGGAAGGGACCGCCTGGGGGTGCTTGGCATTTCATGGACCCCAATGTCCTCACCATCAGCCTGACAAGGTGGATGTCACTGCCTGGACTCGATCTCAGGAAGTGGGAGACTCTCGTCGAGAAGGAACAACTCAGGAAATCAACTATTCTGAGGGAGAGAATTCGGAAGAACTGTTGGAGTCGCTCTAAGGGGACCTTTGAAGTCGACAGCAGAATTCCGGTGGGAACTGTTGCTGCTTATTACAAGGATTACGTTTCGAAAATGGGACTGACGAAGTATTTTAAATGGTTTGTATTGAGCATTGAATTTTCAGTTCAGTAGCAAATGGTAAAACCGTACTAGTCAATTTTGACTATTGACCAGGTTTCAATGAATATCTTGGAATCTAAGGGAGATAGGGAAATTTTTGTTATAACCTTTTTTGTAGAACTGATTGAGAGCTACAATAAATGTAAATACGAAAATTTCGCTATCTCTCTTAGAGTCCGAAGTATTCCTCAAAAACTCAACTGGGAGATAAGTAGACTTAAATTCTCGTAATATTGAAGAATCCAATGAGTGATGGCCATCTCTGTTGAGGTGATAGATTTATTCACTGTTGGAGAAAAATGTAAATTCGATAGGTTCATGTGAACTGTCTCTTGCAGACTTCTCTATCGCGCATTGCATATTGATGTTGACACAATTGCTAAAGAAATGTATTTTTTCCTGATCAAAAATGAAATCTGTTGTTCGTTCAATTGATCCAGAAGCTGGTGGTTTTAAAAATTCAATCATAATTGCTTTACGTATCTTCACACGAACGAAAAAATTTCATAGAAAAACGTGTCGAATTCGCTCGAAAATTCTATTGTTTTTTTTTTTAATTTCGATTAGTTTTCCGCTAATTTTGTTCTCAATAGAATTCGATGTTTCTATATCATTTATTCTACTGAGATATTTTCTGTAGAAATTTCCCGATAATATTTAAAGGCTGAATGTGAAACTCCAAAAGTCAGGATGATCAATTCATCATTAAGAGAAAATTTATTCATAATTCTTTTCCCTGAAGAATACGATAATGCGATAATTTTATTTTGCCACAGCGGACGCACAGTGACATCCGTTCGACCGCTTCCGGATGCGTCAGATTTGGATGAAGGCTACGAATGGATTGTACAGGGATACGAGAATCAAAGTGGTAGGAAATTCAAGTACAAATGTAAAAAAGTTGTCCTCGCAACAGGTACAACTAATTCATCGAATCGTCTGGGCCTACCTGGTGAAGAAACCCAGCCCAGTTGGGTGACCCATGATCTCAATGACCTTGAGACACGCCTTGATCGCCTTGCAGGAAAATGCAGTAAGTATTACTTACATTAACGTACTATGTGGGGCAAAATTAAATAGTTGTGAATTTTTCCATTCGCGACGTCATCGAAACTTTCCACGTATTTCCTTACAAAAAAACAATTAATAACATTTTCAACTCATTTCGTTTATTGTTATCAAATCGAAAATATTACGAACAAATTAATGCAGAAATTTGATCTCAATAGAGTGAGCTATAGAGAAAAATCGAATTCAATAGATTTTTTCTGCTGAATATTTTCCATTGAATATTAATTGTCAAAAAATGCGCAGATACGCTGCGGAATTTTTCAATAGAATTGGCCAAGAACTCCAAGACTTCAACTATTTAAAATTGCATCCTTCGCTAGTATTACTAGTTATCGGGATAACTCAACTATAAGATAATTAATAAATAAATAAATTGATTCATTTTCCTCCAGTCATAACTGGAGGAAATGAACTATGCCAGTCTGTTGATAGTGTTCGTACCAGATTTTTTAATGTTTTATAAACGTAATAACATTATTTGGAGTTACCAATATATTAAAATATAGAAATATAAATATATAAATACATATTTAGAGTTCCCAACATGGAATATTTTAGAGAATGATATGAGTATGCACGCATGAAAAAATTCCATGGAAAACCTAGCGCGTTCGCTAGAAAATTCTATTGAAATTCTATAGGAATTCTATTGAAAAATTCTATTCGTTTCTTGCGTTGATTCTATTGAATATGCGATAAGAAAAAGTCAACAGATTTCGAATTTCTGTTTGAATTTTTCTCTTGAGATTTTTTCTATAAGAATGCTTGGGCATCAATTTTCTAAGTTTTTTCCACTCGGATTCTGCAATGCAAAACAAAACAAAATCCAGCGGAAAAAAGTTAGAAAATTTGGGCCCAATAATTCTAATAGAAAAAATCTAAGAAAAAAATTCAAACAGAAATTTGAAATCTATTGACTTTTCTTATAGAATATCCACTAGTATTTTCTAGCGAATTCGCTAGGTTTTCTATTGAATATTTTCATGTGTTACTCAATTGTCAAGAAGCCTGAGGAAGCTTAAATTATAAGCGAAACGTCGGGAATTGGCAATAATCTAGTGAAGTTTATTGTTTTCTCTACATTTCCCATGACCCTATTTCCTCAATATCAACTATGGAGATGAATAATAATTTCATCAACCATTAATTTTCCTCTGCATTCCTACGATTGACAATATCATTCACTTAATTTTTCTCATAAACAGGTAAATGCTCTCTCATAAGGAAAGATTACAAACCCGAGGTTGCGCCAGTACTGGTGATTGGTGCTGGTCTGAGTGCTGCTGATGCGATAATGGCAGCAAGATTCAGATCAATACCCGTTATCCATGCATTCAGGGATTCACCCTCGACTGCTGAGGGCGATAAAGTTGACAATGAAAATGATAATGGAGTCAGACTGAGTCAGAGTGCCTACGAGAGGCTCCAAACGCTTCCAGTATCCATGTACCCAGAGTATCACAAGGTTTACGAGATGATGGCGGATGGGAGGTGTCACAGGCTCTACAAGGCCCTTCCTGGGTATAATTTAATTGACGTTGAGGTCACGGGCAGTGATTGCAATAAGAAGAAGGAGAGGAGAGTGTTTCTGAAAGGACCAAAGAGACAAATCGTGAGCTTCACAGTCTCCATTGTTGCTATTTTAATTGGTAATTATTATTTTTTCTCTCTAGGGACAAATATCACGTATGAAAAAGTTTCATAGAAACACTTAGCTATCAACTAATCTCTCATCTCTGTAAAACATTCCCAAAATCTGTAAAAACTATGGAAGTTTACTTTTCACAAAAGATTCATTCAATAATCGATGGACAATGAATAATTTACTCTACTAGAACAGGGCGCGTATTGTTTTCCATGGGTGCCGGAATAGTAAAACCTCACCGTTTCTCACTTTCATTAATTTTTATCTAAATAATAATGCAGGAAAAATTAATGGTTTCAACAAAGTTTTTCAGAAAAAAATTTAATCGGAATCGTCATAATGCTCTTTAGCTTCTTCTTCGTTTCTCTTTTGCTTTTGACGTTCTATTTTCAAGGATGTATTATGTATTATATACATATATGCTATCCTATACATATATTCTATTGTATTTATCTTTTTTTCCAGAACTACATATTTTTTTATTACAGCAAGAAATGAATTTTTCTCTTTTTTGCAATTACTGTGAAGGAAGGATTACAGTACAAAAAAAATATACACAGACATCATATTACATAGCTTAATAAGCGAAATAGAGGCTTCAAAAATCGGTACACTGGACTTTTTAGAAGTGGATAATCGTTTTGGGAATACAAAACTGAAATTTTCTTTTGTCTTTCCAAATTTTCTACCTGAAATGCACTTGACGATTTTAGTGATTAAAAATAATTCCTCTCTTTCTGAATTGCAGGATCGAAGCCAGATTTATCATACCTGGGTGACTTAGCAACACAACTCGGAAAGCAAGAAGGAAAATTAATAAATGGGCGTTCGAATCCCATAGAAATCGACGATTACACTTACGAAGTAGTAAAATCACCAAAAAAAGGACTCTACGCAATTGGTCCCCTAGTCGGTGATAATTTTGTTCGTTTCATTCATGGTGGTGCTTTTGGTGTTGTTGGACACCTTCTCAGGACCCTAGAAACTGACTAAAACATCAATCCAATCACTTAGTATTGTTATTCGTTTATTTTCACTTTAGATACCAATTGTGCTGTGCAATAGAGATCTTATTCTTGTAAATTACTCTCATCGTGGGAGAGAATTAACGTCGGAATATTTTTATACGACGATTGTGTTGATAGGTAACAAATTTTTTAACGGACAGATGATTTTTATTAGATTTCATTCGTTGTTTTTTTCGTATACTGAAAATACTCTCGATTGAGATTTTTTACTGTTTAATGTACATTCCTTCGATGATGGACCGTTGAATTGGACATATTTTATTTTAATTTATTGGAGTTTTATTAATTTAGGGGGTTTTAGGGGTTTAGTATTTTTTATAGTAATTTTTCTACACCTCTAGAGGCCCAAGAGCTTTTATATTTTTACTGTACCTCATAATCGTGCCTTCACAAAAGAATATTCTTTTTTTCTTGTACATTTGTCGTAGATTGCGGAGAAAAATTTTTCATTAGGAAATTCTTTTTTTCACTTGAAATGTACAACGATATTTCCCAAAAATACCCAACAATTTTATGAATTTCTTTCGTGTGTGCTTTCACAATCGCTGGGAGGAGAATATTCCCAGCTACTAATCCATTGAAATACGGGATCATGGATGTTATGAATGATTTCATTCATAAAATGAACAAAGAATGATAACAAAGATAAAAAAACACTTGTTTAGATTCATTTTCCACTACAATCGAATACTTCATCGATCAGTTATTCGTTATAGATTGCAGAGAACAATGAAACAATATTGATAGATAATTCTTTATTGAGAGGGATTACCATAGTCTGTGATATGAAAATTTGTTGACATGATGCAGAGAATAAAAATCATTATGAAACATTTCAATGCTGTTTTAATTGCATATTCCTCTTTACTTCACAACAATTATGATTATTTAAATATTTGTACATCCAACAATATATTGTTACCATTTTCAGTGCTTGAAAAAATCAATCGTCAGGAATTTTTCATCAGAATCAACACTACTTGTTCAGTCATTACTGCAGTATTCCATTATAATTATTTTCAATTGATTAAATGCCGCTTTATTCGATTAGTACCACAGAATATACAAATGAAAATGGATTATAAAAGAATAGACGTCTAACTTGAAGTAGACTTCACAATTTTTCACGTGAAAACAAAATTCATTATAAAATTTATGCTGAAATGATTTCTCTGTTTTTCATCGATGAAAATCAGATGAAAATTTAAATTCAATGTCTCATTCAATCAATTATGAATGAAAGATAAATACTTAATGAAGACTAGGTTTCGAACAAGATGGAGGGAAAATCGAGAAAAATGACACCAGCAGATAAAACATTTCAATGCCGTTTTAATTGAATATTCTTCTTTACTTCACAACAATTATGATTATTTAAATATTTGTACATCCAACAACATATTCTTACAATTTTCAGTGCTTGAAAAAATCAATCCGGAATTTTTCATCGGAATCAACACTACTTGCTCAGTCATTACTGCAGTATTCCATTATAATTATTTTCAATTGATTAAATGCCGCTTTATTCGATTAGTACCACAGAATATACAAATGAAAATGGATTATAAAAGAATAAACGCCTAACTTGAAGTAGACTTCACAATTTTTCACGTGAAAACAAAATTCATTATAAAATTTATGCTGAAATGATTTCTCTCTGTTTTTCATCGATGAAAATCAGATGAAAATTTAAATTCAATTTCTCATTCAATCAATTATGAATGAAAGATAAATACTTAATGAAGACTAGGTTTTAAACAAGATGAAGAGAAAACTGAGTAGAATGATGGCAGCAGCTAGAATCATAATGCAGTAGAGTTTCCTGTTTGCCCTCTGATAAGAATCAGCTTTCTTCAATTGCTTGTAGCCCTCCTGTACCTGACACTGGGTTTGCTCAATATTGTAGTCGATTCTATCCAGAATAGTGCCTTGATCATGTACCATTGCTGCTAGATCCTAGGAAAAACCGACAAAATAATAATTCAAAGCCCAGTCTTCCCCACGAAAAATTAATTTTCAGCAAGTGTCCACTCCTCAGCTTCTGCCGTGTAGAATCGAATTATTATTACCTTGAAAATATAATTTAAATCAGCTATACTTTGAACGATATGTCCAACCTCCTGTTCCCTCTCAGCAGCTTGTCTCATGGAGTTCTCTGCCTCCTCAAGCTGCAGCAAGACAGATTCTTGCCTCTGCTGTTGCATTGGCTGCCAGAATTGATCGTTAGGCTCATTATAATTATTTTCAGTCACCCATGAATCCGCAGAAATGTCAGGGAGTAGCAGTTGATCCTCTTCGAAGAAAGGCCTGTTCCTTTCTTCTCTTGAATTCACCTCTGATAACAAAAATGCAAATAGAAAATTGCTTTCGTCACAACATAGTCAATATATTTTTGCTAATAAATTAGGAACTTGCTTGCGAATGGCGTTTTTAGGGCGATTTATGTTAAATTGAATTCAATGATTAATTAAATTCAACATCGCCTCAACGTTAAATTGTTTACTTTTCCCTGAATATTGGTTTCAAAATAAATTTTCTCAATATCAGATGATTTAATTAATCTCATGATCAAACTCGATCACGATGACATTGAAAAGAATAATTTAAATCACGATTGGATTCATTTGAACGATTATTTTTTCAATTATGACTCAAAAAATGGTAAATTTCGGATTTGATATTCAGAAGCAATGTATTCATAAAAATCAATTATTGCAATTATAAAGGAATCAGAAAAAAATGTCATCAAAAAACATTTCAGACATTCATTCAATCAAGGATAATCATGAAAATTTTTGGAGAATGAATTAAAAACGTGGAAAAGGTTGTAAAAGATGTGAACTTGATCTCACGTTGTAAGTAACTATTCTGAGCTGTTCTGTAACGCAAACCAAGCTCTTGGAGAGCCGATGAAAGCGCCAGGACTGCACTCATTGCTAAATTACGTTCAGCAGGCCTTGTCTCGTGTCTCGCAGCATTTTTCACTATTTGAACCTGACGATAACCACTGGAGAAGGCCTTTCCTATTTCTCTAGTCAACTGTTCCATCTGTCTCTCCTCCTGAAATTTAGATTCTGTTGATTAACAAGTGCAAGGAAAAAAATTATCTCATTCTATGAGTAAAACTTGTGCCCAAGAATTTTTAAAGAAGAATTATAAATAACAGAACTTTAATGGAATTCTTCTGAGAATTTCGTAGAAAATGCACTAGATTCTTCTATTAAAAACCACTTCTATTAAACACCCCACAAAATATTAGTTCATTCTATGAACATATGCATAAACAATTCTATGAATTATTTAATTATCAATGTTAGAAAATACTGGAAAAACGTAAACTTTCCATAATTTTGTCTCTAATATTTCTGGAAAGTCATGCAGTTGTCAGCTGCTATTAAATTTCTTTCAATAATTATAAACAAAAAGAAGAAAAAATCTAGCACTCTTCCCAAGAAATTCTATTCGAGTTTTATTAGAATTCTATTCAATGATTATATTCGGTCTTCTGCGACGATTTTAAAATTGAAAATTACACGTTGTTGTGTGATTCTTCAATATATATTGGACATAAAACATTTAATGAATTCAGTTTTTTCGGATTTTTTTCTATAAAAATTATTGAGTAAAACTTCTCAAGTTTTCCACTGTTTTTTTCTTATTTCTCATTACAAAATCACGATTCAATCTATCGAAAAGCATTTTCATTTGTACAAATAATAGAACTCCAATGGAATTCTGCGAATTTCGCAGAAAAGGCACTAGATTCTTCCATTAAATAATTTAATGTGTAGGGGTGAGTCACACAAAAAAAATTATCTCATTCTGTGAACAACTGTTTAATTATCAATGCTCGAAAAAACTGGAAAAAAGCAATTTCCTATAATTTTTTCTATAATATTCCTTGAAAGTCATGCAGTTGTCAGTTTCTATTAAAGTTCCTCCAATAATTATAAACAAAAAATTCACCTGTGAGGTATCATCCAGAGTTGGTCTCGTCAAATGTTTCCCATGGAGTTCAATTAAACTATCTAATTTATTCCTCAATCTACTGAGTATGTACTGAGTCTCTTCCAGAGCATCTGTCCAGGCTGGTGGCGATGAATCCCCCAGATTAATTCTCTTCAGCTCAACATTATCAGCACCCCTGTGATCAGTGCCCACGAGGGCCATTCGATCCGACAAATTCTGCATGGAAAATTGAATTGAAAATTCTGTAATCCTCATATTCACACTTGTCAATAAGTGAGCAACAATGAGGGGTTATCACGTCACCTGTTCGGCATAAATGTGCTTGCTCTGGAGTGCATTGTTCCTCATGAGCACGAAGGGCTCTGTGAGATTCCTCGTTGCCATACTTCACTTTGACTCCTTCTGCACGAATTTATAACACGACGATAAACATTTTCTAAGGTTTTTTTCAAGACTTTTCGGGTTTTCAGCAGTTTGAATACATCAGGCTGACTGACGTATATATGTCACAAACAGCTGATTCGATAAATTGATGTGACTTATCTCCAGAAGATGTCTCTGTCCCGCTTTTGACATCTTCATTTTTTAAATATGAAATTCCACTTCGAAAAAACGTAGTGTAACGATTTTTGAAGTCTATATTCCGCTCATCCAGTAATACAATGTGGTGTCTATGTATATTTTTTTATGTACTGTAATCTTTTGTTTACAGTAATTGTAAAAAGAAGAGAAATTCATTTCTTCATGTTATGAAAAATAACTTATGTTCTTAATGTTATGAAAAATAGATAGCTCTGTAAAAAAATATATGAGGTATGCCATGGCAAATGAGTCAACCCTCTCGGAAATTGATGGCGATTTTTTCTACGATTGGGGGGTTGAAAAACTATCTCTCAAATTTTTTCCGTATTTTTTCGGGCAGCCCAGTTTCGAGTTAGACGTTATTTTTTCAATAACTCGAGTTCTATCCATCCGATTTTGATTTATTAAGTGTCAAAATTTTTCATTTTTTACTACCTATAAGAATATTTTTAGTAATTTTTTTTTTCGATCTTTAGATACTTATAATAACGAATTTTCAAAAAAAAAAGTTGAAAAAGTTGAATTTTGCAAATTATGTCACTTCTGATTTGTTTCATTTTTTTTTCAGTAATTTTTATAATCGAAACAAGTATTTTGAGCCGTCACACAAGTTGGGTACCCTCTTGGATCTATTTTATTTTCAATTTTTCCTTTTCGAAATTTCGGAAATTTGGTCAAAACACCCCAAAACGACTTCGATTATGTATCGCAAAAATATGTAATATATAGGTATACAGTCAAATTCACTCCATATTCTCTATAATCAAAGTCAAACAACGCCATTTTGGGGTGTTTTGTCCAAATTTGCGGAATTTCGAAGAGAAAAAATTGAAGAATTTTGACGCTGAATAAATCAATCGCATGGACAGAACTCAAGTTATTGAAAAAAAAAAGTAAAACAAGAAAAAAAATCATATCTCCAAACTGAGCTGCTGAAAAAATCTGAAAAAATTTGATAAATGGTTTGTCAACCCACCCAATCGTAAAAATAAATATAGTTCTGTAAAAAAAAACCAAATACAGAAATTTTCTGAAAAAATTAGCAAACACCGTCACTAAATTCCCCTTAATCTCCAGGTAAATGAATTACAGAAGAACCCAAATACTCCAAGCGCTCTCATTGATATTCAAAAACAAAATATTCAATATACACATTTTTTACAATACAAATCAATGAAACAATTCATCTTTTATCTCCCCCCCCAACAGCATCAGCAACACTGGAGTGTCCATCACGAGTAATCAATCCATCCAGCTCCCTCTTAATCCTCTGCACAATAGGAGGCCCATGATAAGCGTAAGACGTGTAAATCTGCACAAGCGAGGCACCAGCTTTGATTTTATCGTAAGCATCGTTGCCATCGAAAATCCCACCAACTCCAACAATAGGAATTTTCCCTTTCGTCCTCTTATACATATCAGCAATCATGAGTGTTGATTTGTCGGTTAAAGGAGCTCCACTGAGTCCCCCAGTCTCACTCCTGCTCTCGCCCACCAAATTTCCTCGAGAGACAGTAGTATTGGATAGAATCAGCCCATCAACCTTCGATTTATTCTTCTGAATAACATCCGCAATGTCCTGGCACTCTGAATCCGTCAGATCTGGTGCTAATTTGAGGAGAAGAGGGGGCTTTCGCTCCATCGACTCTCTCACTTCGTTAATTTTAATCAGTAACTCCTCAAGATTTTTTTTACTCTGCAGGTTCCTCAACCCCTGAGTATTCGGACTGGAGATATTAATCACCAGATAGTCTGCTACGTCTGAGAATTTTCTAATTCCTTGGGAGTAATCGCTTATGGAGTCCTCCGAGGTTTTGTTCTTTCCCAAGTTTACACCGATGATTCCTGTGAATGTTGGATCATTCCTCAAGGTTTTCAAGCGCTCGTAAACTGCCTCGTGACCATCACTATTGAATCCATATCTATTTATGACTGCTTTGTCCTCAGGCAGACGAAATACTCGGGGTTTGGGATTGCCAGGCTGAGGGTTTGGTGTAACTGAACCTGAAAGTAAGGATGACAGGCATGAGAGTGGAGTATTTGCGAAGTTTTGAAGTGATTATTTCAAATCATCTATTTCAGTTGACACTGTGATGCTCCGTGATTTCATGAATAAAAATTGAATTTTTGTATTTTCATTTTGAGGTAAATGATCCTATGATCACGTAGCTAAGATGAATAGATCATTAGTGCAATATTTCTATTGAAATGAGTGTAAAGATGTGATTTTTTATATTAGATATCAGAAAATAAAAAATTGAGAATTAGAATTCACTTATATTAATCATGATAATTACTATTTATTAAATAATTTATGCATTTTATATAATTTATATATTTTTCTTGTCTTGTATTTTTTTTCCATCCTAAACCTCTGTGAAGGGGTTTTTAATCCCATTTTACGATTATAATGGAGATTTCAACGTTTTTTAATTGTGAGTTTCTTAAACTCCGGTTTAAGAATTCACTCTGTTGTAGCCCCAATTGATGTGAATGGCATTTTTCTCTCTTATTCTTAAATAAATTACTGTTCATTGGTGTCTATAACTTTCCTAATTAACTAAAATAATAACTCCAATCGTATTTCACTCTAATAGACTCTGGACTGTAAAAATGATTGAAAATTAAAATTATTAAAAATGTGGAATATCTGAGAATGATTCTTACCTATTTCGACGAATCCAAAACCCATCTTTGTCAGCCCCTGAACAGCTTCTCCCTGCTTATCGAATCCAGCCGCCATCCCCACAGGATTATTGAAGTTCAGTCCCCATAATGAGGTTTTGAGGGCTGCAGGGTCGGGGTTTTTTTGCGAGGGTGTCAAACCGTACTTGGCAGCTGTCACAGCAAGATTGTGAGCCACTTCTGGGTCCACTAACCTCACCAGGGGCATCACAACTTCATCGTAGAATTTTTCGTTCCCCTGGTAGACACTCAGACCTGTGAATAGTGCAGCACCACTGAGGGTCACCTTTAATAGAGACTTTAGTTTATCTTTGTTGGAGAGTTTCACTGACATTTTTTATTGTTATTGGAGCATTGGATGCGGCTGGAGGGGTTGACTGTTTGAACGTTCCCTAACCTCTTTCCCATGTTTTGATTGTTTAAGAATATGAGCAAAGGCGGGAAAATTGAATATGAAACGGTGTTCATTTTTGAAACTGGCAGAGAGTGAATTTATCCCAATATCGACTGAGAATCCATTTGAAAATTATATAGGGGAGGCTGGGGTAGAACGGACACTTTTGACTTTTTCTAAAATATTAATAAGGGGTTGAAATGCTGATAAAATTTAATATTTTTTTTCCTCAATACAAAGAACAATTCTTTCCCTTTGTGACGAGCCTAAACTGAGCTCAATTGATCAAGTTGTTTCTGAGTTATGAATAATAATAAAAAAGTCTAGTGTCCGTTTTACCCCACCCTCCCCTATACCGGATTCCGGAATATTATTTCGGAATTGAGGATAAAATATAAAACACCACTGGCGACTAGAGCTTTGAAATATCTGACAACCCTGCAGACAGCCACTGCCATCGGTTTCTCGAAAATGATTTTATAAAAATTGTTGATTTTCCAGTATTTACTATTTTCAGAATTTTATAAAATGTACTTCCAATGTTTCGGTACACGGAGAGAAATTTGTTAGAAAAATTCTAGTGCTAGCACGGGAAAAGAGGCGCAAAGTGACAGCCAGGAAAAAATTCCAGTGCCAGCACTAGAAATTTTATTGGGGAAAACGTGAATTTTTCCCCGTATTTCTGTGAAAATTTCACGGAAATACCCAGAAATTTTACTAGAAATACCAAGAAATTTTACCTTAACAGCACTAGAATTTTTCACAGCCGGGGGATTGTAATTTTTTTCAGTACTCGTACTAGATTTTTTCTAGAAAGTATTTCTTCTGATTTCCATAAGATCACGGGTTAAATGACCACTTTTTCAAAAATTCATAATAAATTAACCACGCTCCCCAGCAGTCTGAAATTTTGCACACGCCTTTTCCATCATTTAAAGAAAACGTAAAAAAAAAGAAAAAATGGCTGCTTTTTTTTCTAACCCTCCGGGCTCGACCGATTATCCTTAACGATTAAAGATTTTTATTCAACATAGATAATTGTACAGTGTAATAGGTAATTGTACAGTGTGTATTTACAATGTTTATTTACATTCGTTTTCGCAGCCTCAGCCCGTGGGCTGATTGTATTTCATAACGTTTGTGGAGTGAAACACAATCACTCCGATATTTAAGCGATTAAAGATATTTTATTTCATCAATAAAATATGTTCTGCACATTAAAAAGTGTTCCTTTCAGTGTAACAGAATACTATTAAATCTTTCCCTTGATCAATAATCCGGCATCGAATTATATTACTCACTCCATATTTTCGCACTAAACCCCAACCACAATGCAGACTATACCGAATGTGCGCGTCTTGACTTCTGTGCGTGTCGACAACGGAAGATGAACTGCCGCACCACCGAGCTAACAAAGAAAATTACTATCGATCGTATAAAATGCATTATTCCTAAGCGTTTCTTGGGAATTGCACGGGGTAATAGTACCTCAAGGGTTGCAGAGTTTAACTGTCATTCTCGGAGCTTTGGAAATTATTTTCTTTTCGTGAGGGGGAAGAACATATCAAGACTGACAGTACAACGGATGCATAGAAGTAATTCTCTTAGCTCACATGGACGGGGAAAGAGGTGCAAAAAAAATGGATATTTTTACCACCGGCTATTACAAGCGAAATCGAATTTTCATGATAACAGTTGGAATTTGGCCGGAATCTTCGAAATTTTCAAAAAATTTTGCACGCACTCTTGTCTTGATAATCTCGTTTAGCATGTTGTTACCTCAGGTATTACTCGGTCTTCAATCAATTTCTTATATTACTGCACGTACGGAAAAATTTCATTCAAAAACCTTGCGCAGTCGTTAAAAAATCCTAGTGAACTTCTATTGAAAATTAAATAAGTTTTTGTGGAAATATTTTCGGAAAAATCAATGGGTTTTTATCTGTTGTACAATTTATTTTGTTGACAGCTTCGAGAAAAATTTTGCGCCTTAAATTTTGCTAATTTATTCGCTTAATTTTTTTAATGAGAAGGAAAAAACGAAAAATCCTGGAAAATTTCTGCCGAAGAGTTTTAATAAAAATTGACAGAGGGGTTCTGAGAAATTTTTCGTAAGTGTCATGTTGAATTTTTGTTCATTCAGAGACCATGAAACCTAGCGAAATTGATTATAAAAAATTTTTGTAGTAGCCATTTTGATTTTTTAAAATTTAAAGTCGGAGGTTGATTACCAAATGAAAATCTTCAAAATAATTGGAATCCGCCGCGTTCAATTGCCACGGATTTCATGGCCTCTCACCAAAAAAGTGAATTTTTAATTCTTAAACAGAATGTTTGGAACAATCAAAGAATATCTCTGCATTTGTAGTATGCATTTTTGAAACAGCCCGGGCGGGATATGAGTGATTTTGTTTCAGTCCTCATAATTGAGACGGTTATAATACTGGTTTCCATAGAGTTATGTTACGTCGCATGGAATATGAAAAAGGTTGGTGCATTTTAGGACATTGCAAACACTTGAAAATACCTGAACACGGACGAAAAAATTAAATAGAAAAACCTATCGAATTCGTTAGAAAATTCTATTGAATTTCTATTGAACTGTTCTATTGGTTTTTGACCGATTCTATTGAAATGTTCAATAGAAAATATTCAGCAGGAAAAGTCAATAGAATTCAATGTTTCTATAGAACTTATTCTATTGAGATATTTTCTATAGAATTTCCTCGGCTCAAATTTTCTAAATTTTTTCGTTTGATCTTCTTGATGAGAAGAAAAGAAAAATAGAATGAAAAAAACTTGGAAAATTTAAGTCGAGCAAATTCTATAGAAAATATATGAAAAGAATAAGTTATATAGAAAAATCGAATTTTGTTAATTTTTTCTATTGAACATATCAATAGAATCAGCCAAAAACTAATAGAAAGTTTAATAGAAATTCAATAGAATTTTCTAACGAATTCGATACGTTTTTATATTAAATTTTTTTGTGCGTGAAGACGTGTCTCCGATCATGGTAAGCCTAGGAATGTTTCAGATAGAAATGGAAATAAATCGCATGCGAGAGGATTGGCTCATATTGAGGGAAACACCTGCATTCGGTATTATTCATCGTTATGCCTTGAGAGGGGCCCTTGGGACGACATTGTACATGGGTATACAATTTTCGATTGACTGAATGGTTCCTCGTACGAGAACATCTACTAAAAAATTATTTTTTCAATTGAATTCAGTGAAAAATACTCTCGAAATTTAGTAGAAGTTGGCGCTACCGCAATAGTACATTTCGTCATAAGGTCTAAAAAAACTTTTCTAGAATAGTATATTTCGATGCTACACGGAGAGAAAAATTCAAGAAAAATTGCCAAAAAAACGTAAAAATTACATTTCAAAACGTAATCTGCGAGCAAAGTAAAATTCAATAAAAAATGTGAATCGCAACTGAAATTGTACTGGGGCTGTAGGGGAAGCCGATTCGGCGAATGCGCCGAATATATTTCCGTACCCCATCACGCGCCCAGTTTTTCAACAAATTCCAATTTTTCACTAGATTTTCTCGCAAAATTTCTATCTTTAGGGTCACTCCGAAAGGTTAAACTCTTCCGAGAGCCTCCACCTGTCTCGGTTTATTTTACTCAAATTAAAAATTTCACCCATTTCAGTTTTCGTATTCTCTGCATCTACACTAATATTTTTCCTCCTCCCATTGGAACCGATAATTCTCGATATAGTGATACCTCTCAATGAATCAAGATCTAAAATATATGCATTCGACTCTGACTACTCTATCTACGGTATATCCACAGACGATCATTATTATTTCACTCTCATTCATAGTTTAGCCATTGGGCTAATTCTGGCGGATGCAATAGTCTCCATTGATACTTTTGTTCTAATAGCCGTAGAACACTGTTGTGGATTGTTTGAAGCCGTGGGGTAAGTTTCTCGTTTTCTAGATGAAAGTTCTGTTTTTCACGAGAATCCAAATTTTCAATTCAACCTTTTTGCGGAATTTAGAACACCTCAATCTCATGTTTGTGTCTTGGAATTCTTCAAAACAGTAGTCTTTTTTTTATCGTTATTTTACATCGCTTCGACCCGGTTCGGGTATACTGCGATGATGATCAAGACTTTAAGGGTGCCAAGTGAATTTGGCGATGACCTTGAAAATTGACATTCACCAACAAAGTTATAATTTTTTTAATTAATAGTATTAGACAGATGGTGAACATCGGTGACAATTTTAAAATTTTAGAACTTATGGATATCGAGAAATTAAATAAACAAAATCAGTCTTATACACGGCCTCTTATGGAGTTTTGATTAAATTGAACGTTTCAACCCCCTAGGAACTCAAGAAAAATTTGAAAAAATTTGAAGATATGGGGAATGATGTGTTCAATGTGATGGCGACAAAAAACAATGGGGTACCGGGGTGAATAAGAGAGATATTTCAACCCGCCATACCCATTTGATCCCATGCTTTCTCGAGGTTCGTCACGCGAAATAGAGGATTTTCCGCATTTATTTTCTCGATGTCTAGTTCCGGTTGCGGGTTCGAAATTTCGTCGGGTGGATGAACACATATTTCTCCAATGATGGAGGGAGAGAAAATTTTTTTTTTGAATCTTTTTTCCAATTCACTTGGCACCCTTAAATGGTTAGATCACACCATTCTACCTGGCCGAGATTTGAACTCTGAACCTTTCGCATGTGAGGCAACGAACTTACCCACTGCGCCAAGCCACCGGAAAAAAAAACAGTAGTCTTCCCAATCAATGCGCAGATAGTCTCATTGCAGAAAACACCCGCGATGTGATAATAATTATAGACGAGTCAATCAAGTAATGCATTAAATTTCAGTTATTTATTACAAGAAATGCATGAAGAGCATTCTCCATGGTGCCAAAATCAGATAATTCGCAAAGCTATATTTGTGCATAAGCGAGCGATTTCGTGAGTATTCAGCATCAATAAATCAAACAGAAGTGATTCATTCGGTACCTTTGATCCTCTAAGGTGAAAGTCAGACTCAGTCATACTTTTTCTACTAGAGTAGAGTGAAGCACACGAAGATAAATATTCAGTAAAAATTACGTATCTTTTCCGTAATTCCGGAGCGAAATATGGTTGTAGGAAATTTTATGGAACCGTCACGGAATTTTTCCAGGGCGTTCCGTAATTTTTATCTGAATCGTCTGTGAAAAATTACGATACCGCCACTTAAATTTTCCGAATTGATTCTGTAATCCGTGAGCGAACTGAAAGTTCCGTAATTTTTACTGAACATTTCTCTCCGTGCAATCGCGCGCGCACTCTTCCTACTAGGGTAAACAGGTCAATTTCGGGACGGGATTAGTTTCTGGACGATTTCAAATTGCACTGAACATCTCTCTATGTAATAAAAAATAGGGGGCGTTCAGGTAAGATTTTTCTTGGCCCAAAGTCTGCCGGACGATTCCTCCAGATGAATGGGATGAAATTCCTCAATCCAGAATTCCCTTAATAGAATGCTAAATTAAAACTGTTATACAACAGATTTAAAATACTTCTAGGAGTTCATGATTTTATTTTAACTAACAAATTTATTGATCTTGAATAAATTCAACTATAAATTATGTGTGTAAAATTACGATTCAATATTGAGGAAAAATAGGTGATATAGGAAGGGGAATGGGGGAGAAATAGGAAAGAGAGGGTAACACCTTCATAATGATTTTGAAGGCGTACACTGAGAAAAAAATTTATTCCTTCCAAGAAAATGTTATTGGTGATATCTTTTTCATACTCTTAGTAGAAGAAAATATCTCTTTTGGAACGTATTTCTCCAGGCCAGTCATTTCCAGGTGCTCCGAAATCAGTTCCAAGCGTGAGAATTATGGTGATCTATAAGAATATTCTTCTGCATATGACCTCGAAGAAACTCCAATAACAATTATGAACATTTGGAATTATTCCAATTTTCTTTACCTGAGAAAATCGCCAATTTGTAAAATCCGGAAGATATCGGAGAACATTTTATCAAGGTCATATGTAGCATAATAATCAGATTGTTCAATATCACTGTAATTTTTGAGGATAGACTTGGACTCTCTGAAAATGACTGTCCTGGAAAAATTCGTTCTGAAAAAATATTATCTTCTGACGAGAATATCAATCCTCGGCAGGAATAATTTTTTCTCTCAGTGTATACAGAACCCCGTTATCTAAGACTCATAGATAAAAAGGAATTGAGTCTCCTAAAAAAAATTAAAATAATACTGTAAAATAAAAAAAATCTATTCTGTCGGACTCGAACAGCCTC